ATTGGTACATTTTAGGTATACAATACATTTACATTTGACTATATATTATTGATACTCTAACCTTAGTCCAAACTTAGTTGACCTTAAGAACTCAGAAGACAGACATAAAAATATCAAATGAACAAAACCAGAGCATTGAAACAATGACCTTGCCCTGAAAATTAGCCCATCCCCTCTCTCAGGAGTGTAAATTGTTTACCTTTGAAAGCCTTTCTTTGTTGCCATGTTTTATTTTTTCACAGAAGTGGGTGATAGGGCTGATGAAGGGAAAGAAACCTGGGATTGAGGCACATACAATTCTTTTGAGCTCCAGGGAAATTAATGAGAATCAAAGTATAGATGTAGAAATCACAGTGGTCTCCTCAGTTTTCTAGAACCATTTAGTTCTGGAACTTTGTGAGGGGAGGGATCTGGCTCACTATTCACTATCTTTGGTTCTTTCTAGAGGTCCTCTCTTCTCGTTCTTTCTCTTTATTCTCCCTGTCCCTCTTTCCTTCCAAAGCAGTGTGGAAAAGGAAAAAAAAATAAGGGCCAGGACAGCAGGATTCCTTTGAAATCTCACACATTGTATGGCTTGTAGGAATTGGAGTTCTTTACACCTAAATTTTGTTTCTAATATCTTGATTTTTTTATCTTTGTGACAATAAAACTGGAATTACAATCTCTGTGTCAAATTTGACTGAAGCTAAAAATAAGTTAACAAGGTTGAGCATGGAAGAAGTGGCCCAGCTTCTCCTTCCTCCTTTTCATTTCGTTTCAGTTTGAATGAGGAGGTGGCTCACAATGAACCAGAGCAGCAACTGACTGAATGTCTGTGTGCTTTGAGCCAATTATGATATTTCTGTGGGAAAGTGTCCAATTCTTAAGTCTCAGTTATATAGAGGTGGGAGGCAGCTGGTGTGAATGTCTGTCTGGAGGGTATATGCACAGTAACTCTGATCAATATGGCATAACAGCAATGTGTTTATTCAAGAAAATAATTATTTCAATTTTCTTGTACTCTAGCCTAAAACTTCATTTTTACCACTTTAAAAAAACACAAAAGAAGAAGGAAGAAAAGCCAAAGCTAATGTCACCAAAATATTTTGATATCTCTCAACCACCTCTGCTGAGGCATACTGGTAATGAATGAAATCAGCTATGGCTGAATGGACCACATTAATTCATTTTCTTCCTCTACAGTTCCACTGTCCTCCCACGTAAATCGCCACTTAATTAAGTACTATCATCATTTCTAACAGTTTTCAGAATTTCTTGACTTCAATCTTTAATCACCTAGTTCCCAGGGGCAACCAAATCCTGTTGCATCTCTCTCCAAAGCATCTGTCCATTCATTTATTCTTGTATTGGTCATGCATTTGATACATACCTAGTGTGAAACAGGCACTGTGCTAGCTAGGCACAGAGCGCCAGCATAGTGGGGGGCCCAGATGATAGGCAAGTGAATAGGCAATTTCTGTACTATGTATGCACGCTGGTGGTAAGGAAGACACAAGGAATCCATGGGGCCAAGTCTAGCTTTAGCTTATCAGAAAATATTTCCTAGATTATTAGTGGTTTAGCTGAGACATTAAGGTTCAGAAAAAAGTAGCCAGAGGAGTGCTTTAGGTATCTTCCATTTATCACACTTTTACTGAACACTGTGGGTAAGGCTTTGTGTTAGACCGTAGAATTAGAAAGACAGATTGTAGTCCCTGCTCTCCCAATGGCTAGAGGATGCTTTGATGGGAAGAAACAGGAAAATACAGGCACAAAAATATCTCTATTTATCATCTATCTGTAGGGCTCCCTACAGGGTCAATTTCCTCCAATATATACTATAATGGGGAATTAACGTGTTCATTGACTTCCCACTAAAAAGTGCAACTAGCAATTACCAAGAGTGTGGCTTCAGGCTCTGCCCTGGGGCATCCCCATTAGGGGTGCAGAGGGCACCACCACCCCCAGGCTTCACGACAGGCCAGAGGGCTTCACTGGGTTGCAGATTACACTATAGGAAAAGGACACTGTAAGATTATCAGCTACAATAGTCATTCCTCCACGGTTCAAGGGAAAATAAGTGATAGATCAGTAAGCTTATGTTAGTTGTTCCCTGAAGTGCCCAAGACAGACAAAAGCTATCTATGGAGGTTTCATTTGAGATGAAGACAGACAAGAAATAAGTAAACATATACACTGCCAATATAATTAGAGACAGCCAAGGGAAATAAACAGGGTAATGCTTCTGACAGCTTTTCTGAGGTGTCTCTGTAGGATCACTCTGAAGAAAGGGACATACACTTTTGAGGCTGAGACCCGTGGGCTGGGAAGCAGCTGGCCTGTGAAAAGGCAGAACTGCAGAAAAGAGACTCTTCCCAGAGGTTCCCGCCCTCACGAATTCGCAGGTGTCATTTCTAATCTCCTCATAACATGGCCACCATTTTTCAAGACAGCTCAGGACTACCACAGGATTGGGTTCCCAGGCAACTGTTTAGTCAGGTCCACGGTTGGTGGGTCCTGTTTGAATGAACTGTTTTCACCACAGAAGTGTCAAAGCTTCCCATTCAGAAACCCTGCTGTTGATCTCCATTGTCCAGGAGCTCAACCCTATTTCTCCATGTTATAGAATGGCCGTGCCACTGAATGAATGATTAATCCGAAATCCTTTGTTTTCGCGTCCTGTTCTCGCCACCTGCTTATTTTTTCAGGCTATATTGTTCTAAGCCTCAATTACATTCTAAGGTCATGAGGCCACCGTGCAACTTCGGGGTCCTTAGACCGCGGTCAGACCGCCTTAGTAATAGCGATCCTCACAGGCCCTGAGCTTCCGCGCCCAGGTTGGGCCCGGGGATGACGTCACTCAAAGGCGGGCGGGCTCCGCGCGGGCGTGACGTCACGTGGGCGAGCCCGCCCGTCGTGAGGTCACCTGGTGGGCGCGGCCAGGCCGAATCCCCGCGTCGTCACGGGAGGGGCGGGCCAGAGCGTGTCAGCACAGCCGAATCAAAACAAGCCGGAGACCCGCCTTTTCCCTCGGGCTCCGGACCTTCTCTCCCGCGCCCGCGGCCCGCGGCGCCCGCGCGGCTGCGAGCCTCGGGCGGCCGCGCGCCGGCTCCAGGAAGCCGGGGAGGGCGCGGCGGCCGGAATGTCGTGGCGCGGGCCGCGCGGCTAGACGGGCGTCGAGGAGCCGCGGGCTCCCGGAGCGGACTCCGCGCGGGGCCAGCCGCCACCGCCGCGCCGCGGGGAGTCGCCTTCGCTGACGCAGGGCACCCGGCAGTCACGAGCGCGATGCCCAACCCCAAAAACAGCAAAGGCGGCCGCAAGAACAAGCGCGCCAACAGCAGCGGGGACGAGCAGGAAAATGGAACCGGGGCCCTGGGCGCGGCGGGCGCGGCGGCCGGGGGGCCTCTGGCCGCAGCGACCGGCTGCGGGGCGGCGGCGGGCACCGTGGGCGCCGGGGGCGCGTTGGGCACGGTGGGCGCGGGAACCGGAGCCGCGAACGCCGCCGGGGCTGCCGCCGCGGGAGACGCCAAGAACGGTAAGACGGGGCCGGCGGGGCGGGCGCCAACTTCCTCCCCGACGGGGACGGCTCGGTGGCGGGCGGCGCGGGCGACGCGTGGACAATGCGAGTCGGGAAGTGCGCACCCCGCCCCTCTGCCCCGCCGCGGCTGCCCTCGCGATCCCCAGGCCTGGCTGCGGCGGGGACGGAGTGCGGGCCCCGCCCGGGTCCGCGCCGGGGCAGCCGGTGCTCGGGGCTCCAAGGGGCTCCCGGCGTGCCCGGCTGCCGCAGCGCTGCCCTCCGGCCCTGCTCGGGTGCCCGCGGTGGCAGAACCGGGCTGTGTGCCCCCGGCTGCAGGAAGGAAGGAAAGAAAAAGCTGCTCAGGTTGAGAAGAATGATCCGATTTGAAACTTAGGCACCAGTTTATTCTTTTCCGTGCAACCCCCACCCATCCGCCCTTTCCCCCAGTGGAGGTGAGCCTTAATTCCCAGCAAATCCAGGCTTGTTGCCCTGATTGCCACAGGTGAAGAGGCCCCGACCCATTTTTACATTTTTACTATAGGGCGTGCGTGCGTGTGTGTGTGTGTGTGTGTGTGTGTGTGTGTGTGTGTTCGCGCGCGTGCATGTTTGAGGGGAGTGCTTTTTAATTCTATGGCTCACTTGAGGAAGGAAAAGAATTGAACTTGACTTCCGTTCCCAGCCCGGAGTTAAAAAAAAAAAAAAAAATCATGCTGTATGTAATTTTACTCCACATTTTAAGAGAGAAGCTTAATAATCTTATGTAGTGCTTGAGTGCTCTTTTTGAGGGGCCATATTGCCAAGATGTGACAGGATTTCTGTTCTCCACAGACATGATTTTTATTATAGAGTGCTGGGCGGACACTGATTTGGTCAGTTCTTTGAATTCCTTTGGACAGTTTTACTAGAAAAGAGGATATCCGTATAATTTAATAAAGGCAGATTAGGATTGTTATGTGTGGCTTTTAACACAAGGCTTCAGCTTTTGAAGCCATTCTTTATGTAAATCAGTCTCTTTTTGAACTGGGCACCTGTAATTACAAGAATCCTACAGTGCTTAGTATATAGGAGATTGAATATACTCTGTAAGAAGTAGAACCGTAGGCTTCATTGGCTGTATCCTTGCAATTTTGAAATAGAATTTATTTAATTGTTTTTAGGAGCAAACTTAACTTGTTTGTGATGTTTGTTAGTACAACTTTTGGCCAGTCTGTATTCTTGTTTTCTTAGCTCTAAACTTCATTTTTTTTTAGCTCTAAACTTCATTTTTTTTTTTCCTAACCTTCATTTTGATATTGGTGTAGCAGAGAGCAAGGTGCCCAAACTCAGGGTAAGAGACTCCTGGCCCAGTGATTTAGAGTCTTTCTGAGCCTCAATTTCTTCATCTGTAAAATTGAAGAAAAAAATTACATTGGCCCCTCAGAGTGCCCCTTCCCTCCAGTGGTTATTTTAAGGCTTATTGTATACGTAAGCTTAGTAACATTCCTCACAAATATTACATGATTAGTGAATAATAGCTATTATTTACTAATCACTTAGAGTGTTACCTGTACTGTGATAAATCCTAGAGGATACAGTGGTAGTCAAGACAGGGACCCTGATCCTCATGGAGCTTGCATTCTGCTTTTAGCAGCTGTTCTGTCTTACCATGCTGGGTTTTTTTCCTATGTGGGAGCTTCAAATTGACTGCTTCCTTTTCTTCTTTCTCCAAAAGATTTGACCACTTTCAATTACATAGTGTGACGAAGTGTTTTTTTTAGGCAAGTGGTGCCTCCTTGCTTAGAAAACACTGAACTAGTATGGGACCTCTATTATTATTTGAAGGTAAAATCAGGTACATTTAGCAGTATTGTATGTATTTGTGTGAAACCATGTATTTCTGGTTAGGAGCTTGTTGTATTAAATGAATGCAGAAAAAGAAGAGATGGGCCAAACATTGCCATAATCAAGGTCACAGGAACTACAAACATCAAAGTTGTGAACTGCGTTTTATGATGCCCAATTCTTGGTCCTGACATGTTGGGGTGTCTTAGTGAATGATTTTTAATTTAAAGAATCCATCATTTCCAGTTCATGATAACTGAACATAGATGCTGAGGCATCCTATCTGCAAAATCAATGAATAAGGAAATTGTTAAGTGCTTCTTTATATGTATTATTGTAATATATATAATACATATATACACACACAAAGTGTGTGGGTGGAATGGTATTGATGAGTTTTTACAGGAAGGGGAAGCAGACAGATAAACTCAATCCACAAATGCTAAGTTGTGTTTGAATTTGAAAATAACATTAATTGAACTTTTTAAAGTATTTGAGTATATTTCAATTTTTAACTGATGCTAAATTTTGTGATTATGATTCTAAATCAAGTAATTATCCCAAGGAGAAGTAAGTTTACATTCTGTTAAACTTTTAAATGGTTTGTTTTCACTGGTCAAGTCAGTTTTTATTTATTTATTTATTCATTCATTTATTTATGTATTTTTGGTACTGGGGATCGAACTCGGGTCCTTGCGCTTGCGCAGCAGGCGGCGAAACCACTGAGTTAAATCCCCGGCAGTTTTTATTTATTTTTAGTTGAGAATTTATATAATGGTTTCATGTCTTGTAGATGCTAGGCAGTGTGGCTGCCAGGGCAGGGTAATATTAATTCTTAGTTGTTCGTTGTAGAAGATTGATAATTAGGGAAAGCTTGGGGGAAGAAGCTATGATGTGGTTATAGTTGAAGTTGAACTGGTTGCAATCAAGCATTTGAATAAGAATAGTAAAAGTAAAAACTGTATCTCTAATAAGAAATTTATTAGATACTAGTTTTTAGATACTAGTTTATGAAGCTTTTTGCAGGGATTGGAGGAAAAAACAAGGAAGCACGAGAAAGTGCCATCCTCTTACACATCTGTCTGGACATAATGTAGCATTTTGATTGTAGGTGGACAAGATTTTCCAGTCATCATTTTTTGGATCTAGTAGTTATGGAGTAGATTATAGTTTCATTCTGAAATTCTGGTTCCCTTAGGCCTTTGCTTTTTTGTTTCAGGCCTAAAAATAGGTAAAACCTTGATCATGGTGTATCCAGTTTTGGAGGTCTAGGTTCTAAGTCTTTTTGTAAATTTGTTTTGTGGCTGAGCATGGTTCACCATGCCACTCATTCCTGTCTGCTCCCAGAATCCCTGAGCTGATTCTGCTGTGTCATTTAATAACTCTTCCTAGCAAGATGGAATTGTGATTTATTAGCATCTGGTAGAACTAGATTTTAATCCTAGCTTCTCAAGGTTTTTTGCCAGATGACCTTGAGCAAACTATTTAATGTCCCTGAGCTTGATTTCTGAATGTATAAAATGGAATATTACCTACCCGTACATGTGTAGGAAGATGTCTATATCTATTACATATATTACATATGTTATATATAGTATGTTAGAGCAGGACCCACTTACAATATGAGCTAGTGAAGTATTAGTTATTTGTCTTAGATCTTGGAAACAATCTCAGAGACATAGGGATTCACATGTAGGAGAGTGGTCTTGGTTAGTGGGAGAAAGAAGGAAGCAGGATTGGGAGCAAGAAGGAATTGAACTGTGATACCACTGTAACCAAAGGAGAGCTCTGGAGCTGGATGGCCTTTCGGGGTATCTCACCTTGAGACACCAGGTCAGGGCCTTTATCTTCTCCTTCCCCTTTGCTGGTCATTTGGATTCAAGCTGCCCCCTGGATGAGAGTATAACCTTAGAGGTGGCATCTCTTCAGCTAAAGAGCCTTTTTGGAGAGAGAGTTTTATTCCCCAAGCATTACTGGTTTCTTCAATTAGACTGCTGTACCAGTATTATGCACATAAAATGCAGGTGTGGGATAAATATTTCTTACTAATAACTGAATAGGCTTTGTATGTCAGACACTGAGAGTTATCCACCATTATACTATTGTTTTGATGGAAAATGTATTTTGAGTCCCATACATCTGTTTACAAGTAGATTTTATTTGGAGTAACACCTGTTCCCTAAGAGTAGGATTTGTATTTTGTCACAAACTTAGGTCATTAAACATACTTTTTTATAACCCTAGGTTTATAGTATAGTTTAAATAAATTTCTTTTTAAATGTTTGCTTTAATTCCAACATTTATAAATTATATTCATAGAAGGAAGATGAAGAGTGTTACTTGCTGTTTATTTTCAAATCTCTGTTTGAGGGTCTAAGGCATGTAGAACAGCAATGGGAGACATTTTCTTGCTTCACTTGGACATCAGTTTTTCCAGGTCTTTAAAAGTATTTTCTAGATTTGAACCATGTATTTTGAAACCCACCTTTGCAGTAGGGATAAGTAGAAAATATGCCTTATCCATCAGATTTCTTTCTGTGCACTTTGTATATTGAACTGAAGAACTGGTTTGTGCTCTGCTAATCATGATTATATGGTCTTTACTCTTTCTCTCTTTAGTTGTTAAAGCACCTATGCTTAAGTTCTGGTAATTAAACGTTTGATGTTCACTTTCCTGTAAGTCCTAGAATATTTATCATTCTGAAGAGAATTGAAAATAGGGAGCTAAAACTGGAAATTCCCTTATAGCTGAATCCTCAACATTTTGATATACCAAATATGATGAATTTAAATTTTAAAAATGCATTTTGTTTGTTTGTTTTTTGGTACCGGGGATCAAACTAAGGACCCTGCGCTTTCGAGGCAGGCGCAGTGCCACTGAGCTAAATACCCAGCCTTTAAAAATGCATTTTAGTAACATATACTGCCATTAATCACCCTCAAAAATTACCCCCCCAACACACTTTAAATACACTTATACCACTGCTCTTGCCACTTTCTGAAGCAGTTCTCGAAATCATTTTTTGTGAGTGTTGTTACGAGGTGTGATTAAAAATATAATGAATTCTTTGAGTGCCATCCAGGGGAAAGGCAGGCTTGTAAAAACATTACAGTGTGTCTTCTTCTGCCTTATTCACTGAATCTGGCATTGTAGAACTTTGGCCTGTCTCTTCCTCAAAGTCAGAATGACTTAGTAA